TGAAAAGAAATGACTTTTGTTATTGTGATTTTCAAAATATATTCTGATAGAAGTCAACATTTCACAGTTTCTGTCAGTTTATGTAAGGCTAATATTTATAGGGGGAGGTCTATACAATATTATGCTTACTTGACTTAAGATATCTACGATCCATATTCCAGTTACTTTGTCATATTCAGACCAATTTCTGTGGGATGAATAATATTTCCTATATATATGCACATCTTTTAACCAGTATTTTCTTCAAATATGCCTCCTCTTCCTGCCTTCTTAGGAAACGTGAGGATCTATCTCTTTTAAAGGTATTTATTAGACTGAAATGTCAATGTGTGTGTATTCATATATTTCTAAAGAAAAGCAGAAAGTGTATGCAAACCGACAATGTGAATGTACAAAGCTAAATGTTAATCTTCAGGACTTTTTGTAAGATGATTTTAATCAATAGACACAGGTGTGTACAGTTCCTATCTTCTCTCATTCCCATGCACCAAGTAAATTATAAAGGTGTGTATAGTGTTCCTATCTTCTCGTTCCCATGGTGACCTGTTCCTATCTTTTCTCGTTCTCACCAGGTAATTATAAATAGATACAGGTGTGTAGTGTTCCTAACTTGTCTCGTTTCCGCAAGGTAAATAGATACAGGTGTGTAGTGTTCCTATCTTGTCTTGTTCCCACCAGGTAAATATATACAGGTGTGTAGTGTTCCTATCTTGTCTCGTTCCCACCAGGTAAATAGATACAGGTGTGTAGTGTTCCTATCTTCTCTCATTCCCAGGTTTTAAGAACTTGCTACAACTAAGGTCATTTAAGGACAATCTTTCCCACCAGGTAATCTGTTTTAGTAACAGCTTAATGTCCTATTATTGCTTGGTAAGAAGACAACAACTCACAGGAATGTGTACTGAACTAAGGTTTGAGTACTGGTGACAAATCATAAAATTCAGGAACATCATTTTAAGCTAACAAGCATCCCCCCAACACTTTCATGTATGTTTTAAAATGGTTGTGCATTAAGCATTGACAGCATTTATCAACTCTATGAAGTTTGCTGACAATGCATTAAAAAAACCACTATAATATTATAGACTTTACAGTTAAATTATATGATACATTGTTAGCATACATCACCATTTTAGGCTACGTATATATAAGGTTACTCGAAGATTTGTTTACATTGCATGCCTCAACTTTTCATTAAACTAACAAGGCATTAAATAACAAAACTTTATCTTTGGCTTGCCTAACGCTTTATGCAAAGCATTGTCAGCACACACTACAGAGTGTTAGTATTAACTGTATTGATTGCCTTACTGCATTTCCCTATGAATTATTCAATAAAACAGAAAAAACTGACAAGACATCTGGTAACCTTCACAGGAACCTACCTGGTCCCTCTCAGTCATTCCCATTAATAAAGATCAGGTCTAGATCTACAGAATGAATTCTGGTGGACATGTCAATTCCAGCTTTGCTTGTTCCATGAAAAGCGTTATTCGTCACAACATATGATGTTTAGATATTTGACCATCAGCTTACATGTACCATTAATTACTAGAATATTTTTATATATACTACGTATTTTTGGAGTAGAATCCATATTTTGGACTTGGATAATTGTACAATCCCTATGATGGAAAACATTCCGGATGCTTTTTATACGCCCATCGAAGACGGGGACGTATTATGTTATCACGTGAGCGGGCGGGCGGGTG